ACCCCGTCCGGGCGCGTACAAGCCTGCGTGCGTGCGCGTTGGTGCAAGCAGGGGTGTAGGTGCGCGCTCAGGAGGCGGAGGTGCGCAAACCCCAGGGGCGATTGCACAGGGGTGCGAGTTTGCCCTTGCTCGAGGGCCACGAGACGATCCTGCCCCGGGGAAGAAGGGGTACGTTGGCACAGAGGGGGGAAGCGCTTTGCGTGGCGGCACCCGTGTGTTTGGGGGCACCAGCAGGAGCTTGCCCAGGGTGCCTGTGCGCTCCCGAGGGCCCCAGGGAGACTCGCTGACACCGGGGCAGGTTAATGGTGCTTCTTTCCCTTAGCCCAAGCCTTGGCGGTGCGCCTACAGCAGGTAACCCTGCCCTTGATCTCCCCGGGCCAGTGCATGCGGTACTGGGGCAACCGGATCACCAGCTCCATGCTCTGCGCCGGCGGGGTTGGTGCCTCCTCCTGCCAGGTAAGGAGCCGAGCTCCCGCTGCGCCGCAGGGAGGGTGGAGGAGGAGGAGGACATGTGAGGTCTTGCATCTGTGGAGCCGGAGATTTAAGCTTTAACATCTGGCCATGTCCAGGGGACCAGGCGGCAGGGCTGGCAGGGTCCAGTTTGGAGCACATGCTGGGACCAGTAGGCAGGAGGCATCTTCTCTGCAGGGTGACTCCGGTGGACCGCTGGTATACAAGAATGGGAAGGTCTGGACCTTGATTGGCATTGTCTCCTGGGGAAATGGCAACTGCAACGTCCGCATGCCCGCCGTCTACACCCGCGTAAGCCAGTTCCGAAACTGGATCGACGACATTATTGCTCAGGGATAGAGCCGGTGCTGGCGGGATCCCTTTGCTGGGCACTGCTCCTGGCACGGGGAGCTCGGCAGAGCTGGCAAGGGGCTGGGAGCAAGGCATGCCCCTGTAATAAATCTGCTTGTGCCAAGCGCTGCCTCTGGCTCCTCTACTCTGACAACGCAGAGCGGGGTGGAAGGGGGACGGGGGAAGCCTGGGGCACCCTGCGGTTGGGTGCTCCTCCCCTGAGCCCCAGTGTCTCCCAGAGCTGGAGCTCGGTGCCCAGCTGGGACCCACCGAGGAGGTGCGAAGCCAGGACCCGACACACAGGCAGAGGGGAGCAGGGCTGGCTGCGGCTTGGGGGCTCCGCAGGGGGTCTTCAAGTGTGGGGGGGGGTCTTCTACACCCTGCCGCCAGCCCAGAGACCACCACAGCGTTAAGGGTGGGTGATGTCCCAGCCAGGCGCAAGGTCTCCAGCACCAGCTGGTCCCATCAGGGAAGGGGACTGTGGAGCTGCAGCTCACCAGGCTCAGCACCAGTAAGCACGTCTCAGCTTGCCATGGAGGGCGGGTGCTGGTGGGTGCACAGGATCTTAAAAGATCCCTGCCTGCCATTTAAAGCTGTAACTCATGTAGCAGCCTGGGAACACAGAGCTGGAAAGGAGAAATGTCGAGGCCAGGCGACAGGTTTTCAGAAGCAAGCAGCATCCTCACCTAAACAGGTTCTTGAGACCAACAGCAGGTGCAAAAAAATAAGTCTTGTGTTCACACATGGTCAAAGAATTAAAACCTGATTCCTGGTAGCTCAAACTAGAGTTGGTCATGGAGACACAATGGAGAAGAGCAGGATCAGACCATCCCAACATGAGGCGTGGGTTGTTTTTTTTTTCCTTTACCAGTGAGGTGAATGCGATATAAAACCTTTGCTGTGTGAACCACAGCCCCCAAAAGGTTGTAATCGCTCTCGTATTAAGCAGTCACAAGAAAGCATGCTGCTACACGGAGATGTACCCATGGGAAGGGTTACAGAGGGCAAAGACAAATACTCTGGCCCATATGCTTGAGCTTTAAAAACAAAAAGCTGCTCAAATACAGCCCAGGGCTGGTTTTAGCTTGGCTGGATAAAATTTAGCTTCGTTTAAGTGGTCTGCTCTGCAGGGAGCAAGGGGAACTGGAGCAAACTTACAGCAGGGAACTGGGGCTTGTAGAGAAACCTGTGAAGCTGCTGGCTTGGACTCCTTTGCCGTGGGAGGCCTCGCCTGGGGTGTAGGGGAGAAGGGCACAGGGGCTGAGCTCCTTGCAAGTCTCCTCTAAGGCCGGCGGTCGCAGCTGCACTCAGTACCCACCGGTCTGCCGTGACATTTAGAGCGTGATTTCACTCCCTGGTACCTGAAATAAAACCAATCCCATGAAAGCAGCGTGCTCTGTTTCGGCTTTAGTTAGCTCCCAAGTGACCTTGAAGACAGGTGAATGCCAGAGCTGTGGGGATGGGCCACGTGGGCAGAAGAAACTGGTGGCCACATGGAGCTGCAAACGGGAATTGAGCAATGGCAGCATTTTTTGTTCTGTGTGTTCAGGTCACTGTTGCCCCTGCCACTGCTGGCACGGGGTCCCTCGCTCCTGAAAAATCGCCTCCTTCCCAGGGCGTGCATTTTTCACTTGGTATTACAGGTTTTCCTGTTGGTCCACAAAAGCTGCTCAGAGTGAAACCAGAGAGGTGGCGAGTCGCTGCAGGCAAACGAGGGTATTTTTCTGGCCCTGTTTGCCACCTTGCAGCAAAAGAAAAGTGAACAAAATGTCCCAAAGTGCCTGTTCAGCCCCCGAAGCCTGCCTTCCAGCAAGAGGCTGAGTGCCCGACTCACCCAGAGCATCCCCACAGACATCCCAGCCCCGCACCAGGTCTCCCTCAAGGCAAACTCCTGGTTTGGCAGCTGCCTTAAAGAAACCAGTAAACTCTTTTTTTCCGGGCTCTTTGGTACCTTCTTGCTGTGCCCCAAGAACAGGTTAGAGGGGTGAGCTGCTCCTGGCTTTTGATGCGTTTAGTGACCATCGCTCACGCGCTGGAAAGCGGTGCCTTTCAGCAGTCAGATCCGTAAGCGCAGATCCCTGAGCCAGAAGTAACGACAGCAGAGCGACGGAGTACACAGAATACATTTACACGTTTAGCAGACCGAGTACACAAAATAAATAATTCTGTACAGTCTAATCGTAACGTTACAGACTAATTACAATGGTTCAGAACTCATCCTACAAAACAGTCCTTAGCGTAAAACAGGACTCGAAAGGCAAGTCGCAGAACTGGATGCTTCCCAAAACAGCCCCGTTAGGAGACTTAACGGGACGCGACCAGAGTTACTTCCAAACCGTTCCAACCCAGCACCGGAAATTTGGCGAGCAAAAATAACAGCAAGTGCCGGAAGACCTGCGGTCCTGAGAGCTTCCCGGGAGGCGTCTTTCCGGAGTGAAAGGCAACAGGAAAACTCACGGCATTGGGGCATGCTCGCAGGAGCTGCTCGTTCCCAACGCACCTTGTCGGGGCCGCAGATCTCTTCCACATTCATCAAACACAGTGCAAGGTTATTTGCAACGGCAGCGAGTAGCTCGCCCGTCGCACACGAGGGATCTACAGTATTACCACGCAGGGGAGGAGAGCGGGAGAAGGAAAAACTGCCATCAGGCAGGCAGAGCTCCCTCCACCACAGGGACACCAAGGGTAGAAGGTACCAAGCTCCACGATGCCGTTGCCACCGCGCATCCCTGCTGCTTCACATTTTATTTTGGCAAATTCACTGCACAGTAAGGCACAGCTGACACGCAGGCACCTGCCTCTGGAGCACCCAAGAGCTACGTTCTTAATCCAGGCTGAAAGAGGAGACTGAGTGGTCAAAAAAAGCACCAAAAACCTCCCAAGAGCGGTGTAGGCAACTTGGGGCTGGGTATCCGGCACCGAGTGGTAGAGGCACTTTGTGATATTTCCCGGGACGATGCCAAGCTGGTGAGAGGCCAGGACACAACCAACCCTCCCTGCAAATCCAAGGGCTCATCTCGAATACACTGCTGCCAGAGAACAGTTTGCAACTCCTCCAGAGGGGGTGATCCCCCCCCAAAGCCAACCTCTGCCTTGCTTCGCATCATTTAGAAAACCAAATTAAGTAAAACAGTCGAGATTTTAATTTACCCCACCTCAAACCCTCTGAATCTTTAGTATCATCACTTAAAATGGGAATACGGCTCCACGCGGTTTGCTAAGTGGCCTGTAACAGCCACGCACTAGTTGTCCTACGTCATACAAGACCATCTTGAGCTGCACTGCAGGGCCCTCAAAGGGAGCCTTCTCCCACCTGCAAGGCACCGTTGAGACGCTTTTACCTTGCTCCAGGACTCACCACGGCTCCTGCAGAGCCAAAATCCAGAGCTGCTGCGCTTGACCACAATTCCTATTCCAGTTTGTGCGTTACATAAAAAGTTGAGTATATTAGTACTTCAGCCAAACCCCTGGGTAGAAAACAGGATTGAGAAATGGAGCAGGGTATAAGAAAGAACATATACTACCAGAGCACAAAATAGCTGACCTAAAAGAAGAAAATTCCCAAATTCCAAAGAATTTAAGAGGTTGAGGGTTTATCGTTTCCAAAACAAATACGTAACGCAGGCCCTACGCTGCAGCTGGTTTCCACATCTCTACCGATGCCAGCAGGTCAGAGCCCTTTTGTCTGGGCTTATTCTCATCACAAGGCTGTAAAGCTGTCCCTCACGTATGGTTGTACGTTTCCAACAACGCAGTCCAGGAACTGGCAGGAGCATCTGGATGCTATCACCATCTCAGTGCTAAATAGCACAGACTTCTTCCGGACCAAAGGAAGGGAGGTTTCTACCACCGCTGGGTTGACATGTTAAGTTTTTTAGAAGCCTGAGAAGGGTGAGAAGTAAAGCAAACGTGGACAAGTAATTGCTGTTTTCACAAAATGCAGAGAAAAATACTCTATGTACTCAAAAATCTGGATGCAAAGCTTAACAAGGCTGTTAACCTTAACCTGACCACCTAACGTTATTTCTGGAAGACCTTTTCACATTCATTTCCAATAACCCTCAAAAAAAAAAAATAATCAAGGAATCAATGGGCCACATTCTTTGAAGCCGTAATTCTCTCTCCCAAGAGAGCAGCCAAATTCCCAGGACAAAACGATGGGAGTGTTTTACACAGTACAGCTAAGTTCCAAAAGGCAACCAACCATAATTCCCTCTGCTCCTTAAAACTGCTTTTCCCTGAAACAGAATACACTGCGAAGCAACACCCCAAGCTGCTCCATCGTGTCTCGTGATGGGAGAAAGTCCCAAACCTACTGATTTCAGCCTCAGCATCTTCAGGCTTTGCTCTCTCCTAGTGTCTCCTAAGACGTTTCCCCAAGGCAGGGTACTGGTGAGCATCGACTTGAGATACTGGTGGGTCGACCACACATGTCTTTTCCCCAGCATCGAGAATCCCTTCCAGCAGGCGCACACGAACTCACACTCCTACCTTTGTGGGCTAAACTGCTGTTCTTTGGGATCAGTATAGGAGAAAACGGTGCCATGCTGAGAAGGTTGCTGAACATCTAGGACTGCAGGTGTGGTCCAGGACCACCACTCAGCACACCAAACCCAGATTCCTCTTTGTAGGAGCACCTCACCCAGCAAACAGTGGGAAGGTAACCAGACGAGGGCTGTACTTGGACAAGGACACGCTGCAATTTGCCACTAGGTGTCATTCCAGCTTCATTTTCATTGTATGAAAAACAGCAGGAAAACAAAACGCATTACCTGCGTTCTGCCGGCTAGTTCAGTACCAGAGGAACTCTTTCAAAAAACCCTGCAAGCCAAATTAAGAACCACCACTAAGAGCCAAAGAAAGAGATTTCAAAATTCAATGGCAGAAAAGACATTTCCGAGAGATTTTAGGTTTTACAAATCCCAAACAAAGCACTCCTGAAAAGTGTAAACTCCTGAGACTTAAGACAAACTGAGAGCTGAGATGCTCCTGTGGCATATCTATGAAGA